TAAAGAAGCCGCGGTATAGCAATACTTACTTCACTAAGTTAGCACTAAGCAATAGTGTTGCATTACTAGCTCACGACTTTTAACGATTATTTAACTCGATTCAAATAAAAACACGAAAAAGAAATAACCGAATTCCTCACATCCTCACATTCTTTTATATTTCTTAACGTTTTATTTTAGTTTTGGAACTAGTATGTTGTGAATTTTATTGCACACGAAAAAGAGAAGTTATCTAACTTAACTATCAGGTTTTGACAGACGATTTATATCGAATCAAAAACTCATCTCGCTGACATAATCGCTCGATCTATTGTCGATCGGAAATCGATTGTTTCATAATGATTGCCGAAATCATTTTGTGGGTAACAGACGTTACAATCGGCGGAGAGTATTGTGACGTCACGCACGGATGTGCACTATCCATGATTTAGTTTCTGTAGTAAAGTTTAACAGTTGAATTAAAAACCAGTTTTATGTGATAGTCTTTGTATTAAATCGTAAGAAAAAATATTAAAAAGAAATATAAAATAAAGATGTCAGAAGCCAATTAAATCTGTCGGTAGGTATGCAATTTTATTGAAATTATGACTCATAAAAATGCACAAGTTTGACATATGAATCGTTGTAAAAAGTAACAGTAACTCGTTCACGGTAACATACTAATTGCTTTCAAGTTCCGTTTTATTATCACATAATGTACCTAAGTACAATGAGTTACCGTTCGTTTTTCCTTGAAACGATCCCTTCACTAGCCCTTTGAACTTTGCTCAAAATCGTGCTGCAAAAACGTGGAACATTACCAACGCGCAGAATTCAAGTAAAGATGGGTTTCCGAGTGTCAAGAGCGAATGCCAAATTAACCTTAGATCTTAGAGTACCTAATAAAGTTTATTTGTGGGTAAATTGTGATTGATGGATGTTTTACCCGTTTGACTGACTTATGACTTAATAACGTTTTCAGAGATCTATTTTATGGAAAATAGATAGAACTAGAAAATAATTTGAAATACTCTTTAGACCCTTCTTAACATTCCTTCGATATCGCTCTTTCATTGTCCAACGCGGCATACAATGTATTAACTATAATATATTCATTATAGCCGACTTCCCAAAAAGCTGGGGATCATCTTGATGTATTTTTTTTAAATGAAATCAAATCAAAAGGTGAAAAGTAATTATATTTTCTTAATAGACATAGTTACAAGAAACTAGAATTATCAGTCAATAGACCCCTCTCTAAGTCAAACAATCTGCATACCTACGAAAATAGTAGGGCGTGATTGCGACTAAGAAATCAACAAAGCATAGCGCACAATATTTATTGAAGCCGTGATAGTGCATAAGTTATAACAGGTTGATATCTCTCCGCCTACTAATGACAACTTGAGGTAACAACTGACAACCTGTTCTCGTTCAGAGTGTAGTGGTCTGATAGATGAAGTGAATAGGAAGCTGTGAATTAGACCAGATTGGTAGGACGTTACTTATAGGTAACGGTCTTGTTTGTAGTGATAGAGAGACCAGGACATGAATTCTGTAAAATATTAGTAACATGAATGATATAACATAATATCTTTCGTCCGCCTTTTGCCACCATACAATGCAACACCCACTTTTCACTAATTATATTATGAGTCCCAGCCCGATACGACCTTCAAACCTTCAAGAAAATAGCGTATTCCTTTTTAAAAGGCCGGCAACGCACCTGTGACTCCTCTGGTGTTGCGGGTGTCCATGGGCGGCGCTGATCGCTTACCATGAGGTGATCCATCTGCTCGTTTGCCTCCTATTCCATAAAAAAGGGGTGAGCCTATTGCCATGTACCGGGTACAATTCCAGATCCGTGCTGTAGTAGCACGGATCTGGAATTGAGATGTTTTGAAAAAACCTAGTTACTCTTTACCCGACTCGGGAATCGAACCCGAGACCTCTTGCCCGGTAGTCGCATTTACGACCACCCAGCCAACAAGGCAGTTACATGAATGCTTAGTATAAAATTAATTGATTATGAAGTAAGAGGTGTATCTAAATAGGACAGTGACACAACGTTTATAGCACACACGGGTAATATGTCTATTTTACAAGAGGTGCAGGCTATATGGAAAGTTTACGCCTGAGGAAATATTATGACTAGATGCCTAGGATTTTTTTTTTTTTTTAAGGGGGGAAAATCATCGAATGACTGCTCCCGCCTGGGTGAGGCGGAAGGGAGTGTCAGACTCTTACTGACTAAAAACCACCCCGGTCCTTCTCCTGCACGTCGACCCGGAGCCCCGGATACCCGTTAGGTTCTCCGCGACTCCGAATCGGCATCGGCCCTATTGGGCCCCATCTGTGGTGGTCTGATGGCTCTTTGAGGCGCGCGCGGAACGCGACGCGCCGTACGCTCGGGTCTTTTTCTGGTCGGACGGGGAGCCACCCATGCTCGCCGTCCGCAGGCCCGCGCTTACGGTGGCCGGAGATCGTCCCGCGATCCCCGACGCCCGGTGTGTCCTTCGCGATGGCTGGGTTGCGAGGAGGCAGCGCTTCGCTGCCTCACGCGTCCCGCCTCCTCCTTAGCCAGCATGACTGCTTCGCAAAAGGAGGAGACGGCATCCCAGTCCCCCTCGCTCCGCATCATGGCCTGAACTAGGCCCGGACGCGAGAGGTCTCCATCGCCGATCACTTCCCTGAGGGCACGGCGGTGCTCAGCCCACGCAGGGCATTCCGCAACAGTGTGTTCCACCGTGTCCTCAGGGTGGTCCTCGCAGTGATGACACCCGGGCGTTTCCTCCCGCCCCATCAGACACAGGTACCTCCCGAAACTTCCATGTCCGGTGAGGACCTGCGTCAGGCGGTAGGTGAGGACGCCGTAGCGTCTCTCAAGCCACTCCTCAAAGAGGGGACTTACCGCTGCAAATGCCTAGGATAGGAACCAACAACGTTGTAATTGTATTTTTACGTAAGGATTTGTTACGGCTACTCATTTCTTTAATATGACTCGCAAGCCCACTGCAATCACAGTTATTTTTGCATTATTACGCTTGCTTTCTACTTACTATACCTCTAAAGCTAAATAATTCACCCATGTGTAAGGAAACATATACTTAATAGAATTAGAAAATCAGTCTATTTATATATTTAATATATGCTATTATATGTATCTACGCATCATATAGTGCATAATTTATATGATTCGAAGCGAAAGCAGACAGCAATATCAAAGTCTAAGCCAACTTATATTTGCGGTTCATCAAGGCGTTAATTACGTATATCTATGAGGAGATAATCTATGAGAGGTGCTTTTGTGATCTGCATTTAAAAGTTGGTAATGCAGTTGATTCGAGAACGATAATATTGAATGTTTCCGTACGATTTCTATCCTGTATGTAATGAAGTGAGTTGATCATTGAACAGATTTTCTCGACAACAAGATATAGGCACATATGAAGAAGGTTAGCAATTTGTTTGAAAATCTTTGAAAACTGACCTTAGAGGCCTATAAAGAGTAAGAATAGGTATGTACCACCCTAATATGTCATAGGTCATATACCTTATACTAATATTGTTACACTTACCAAAATGGCCAAAAGGTCAGATTCCCAAAAGAATATTTGACAAATCACCATCAAATGATCACCACTACATCCATCATCACCATGCTTGACGATCGCCCCAGATAAGTTCGTGATCTTAACATAAAGATGACGGATTGACATCCAACTTAAGTGTTTGTGTTGTAACTTAATAGATATTAATAGTAGATATTGTGTAGAACAAATTATAGTGACTGGTAAAGTTCACAGCTTTAAGAAAACTAATGCTTTGGATCATGATTACCAGACCCTACGTCCTATAGGTGTCCTAACCTATGGTAAAGAAACAACCAAATTTGTAGTGAAACAGTGTTGATATGAATACAGAACATGAAATTACAGCTGTTAGTCTACCCAGGGGTTTATTAAATACATCATCAATCTATTAATACTTTAAACATGATATAATAACGTCCTTTTGTAAACAATTCACACAACTAACCAAACAGACATTAATTGTTTACTTATGATAAAGTTGTACCTACCTATATGATATTCAGTCTCCTAGTGTCCTAACTGGACGTTATGTCTTGTATAGTGATGTCTTTATGTGTATGTGGTAACGGGTTCCACGTAACGGTGACCACACCGTCGTCGGCGTCGCGTGCGCATGCCACGAATTGCACCGCGATTCCATGTACTCCACTGATTGTTTTTAATTACCGTTCGTTAATTAGCTGCATTTTAGCTGACATTACTGTTACTTTGTTAATTAACATTATTATTTTGACTGCTTTGCTCATAAATTCAGACTAACTAGCCATAATGTTGTCAACTTCTTTGCTGGTCATATTTTAAGAATCAATAAAACATACGTTTCGTATTAACTGTTCCGTAATGTTGTGACGGTCTGTAAATAAACAAAAATGAAGTAATCAATCCAAACGAGGACTAAGAAAACAAATATTTTGTTTTAATTTGATTTTGTCAAATTTTTAATCCAAAGCACGCGCTCTAACCATTCGTAAAGGAACCCAACCGCAAGCATTCATCATAGTACCGTCTGTGTGTAGCCACAGCCGAGCCTACTTCCTGGACATTAGCATGCAGTAGGTGTCACACGTTTTATCGCCGCTTATGTAACGGTTACGTGCTCCCCGCGCTCTCCTCACGCGGCAATGGAAACCTATCTTCATGAACAAAATCGTATCCTCACGAGATCTCTATCGCTTCAATTTAACCCTAACTGTAGAATGTGGATCAGGATCATTGAGCGAGTTGAGCAGATTGTATCACACTTCCAGTTATAATGTCCTCCTGGATTCATGTCAACTGCTCTGTAAACATTACTGACGGGACGTTAAAACAAACTGAAGATAACAATCACCTGTTTTTCTTGGAGGTATTTCATATCAAAGTAAACAAAAATTTACGACTAAAGTTTATTGAAACTAATATCTAAAGTAAATTCTTAACTAAACACTTCTACACGTATTTGGCTTCCTCCGGCAATGGACTTTCACACATAGGACATATTATAGCTAGGTACCATTTAGTTCCGAATACATTACGCAAATTTTGTTTCCATCTGCTCGCGTCCTTTAGTTCAGGAAACCTGGCCTCGTAAGAAGTCACGCCCATAAGAACATTCTTAAAATGCCAGTAGAACAAAGTGCCAGACCAGACTATAAGGGCCACGTTCATAATCAAGAAAAACAAATAAACGTCTTTGTAGCCCATGGGTTCTGGAATGATGAATCTCAATAGAGGGTTGAAGATGCGGAAGGCTGACAGTGCCCAGCCGTCACCTTTAAACTTCATGGTAACAAAGTAATAGTTGTAGTAGGTAGCGTACGTCATGGAGAGCATCACATGGCCGAGGAACAGCACGAAGTACCTTTGGTTGTAAAGGCCGACGCAGCGAGACAGGAACGAGCAGTGGTGGTCGCGCTTCACGATACACACGTTGCATTGCATGCAGTGCCAACTTCTGACTGGCCGTACCATCCGACATTCTTCACAGTACGTACCTTCGCCGAATACAGGCCTTTTTAAACTAGAATCCATCATAATACTATAAATCAAATTGCCAATAACGTTGATAAAGCAGAATGATATCAAACAGATATGGACTATTTGTTCCACGAGGCTAACTTTCAACTTCCTCACAAGTTCTGGGTACACTATGGTAATTTGGAAGACAAAGATAAATGGTATTAGCACAAACACAACACCGTAGAATTGTACTTTTGCAAAAATGTGTGCAATCAGAGATTTTCGGGGCTGTGGACTCATTGCGTGTGAATTATCAGTGCAAGGTTGCGAAACTGATCTTCGTTCGTTGACAATCATATTATGAGATTATCAGAGAATGAAGCTAAATGATGATTGTGGTGCCTTAAAGTAGCAGCGGATTTCAATGTGCTACTAAAAAAGAATCACGACAATACTTCGAAAATATTGCGAAATCTTGGTTCTTGAAATTGACAGTGACATTTGACGAGATGCAAAAATTCATAAATGGCAGCTGCATTGTAGAAAACCAGTTTTAAATATAAGTCCAAAGAAGTTGAACTTGATTTATTTTGACCGCAGCGTGACTAAAGTTCAGGAAAACAAGTCTTGCGAAGATTTTTTGTTCATTGTATGAAATGCCATGTGTTTAGAGTTCATTGCTAATCTTGTGTGTAGGAGGCATTCTTTCGTTATTATAAAGTCAACAACTTATTAAACTTACTGGGTTGTATCGTTATCAATTACAATACCTTTCAAATTTCCAACATATACAAAAAATAATTTTACAGCTAGTAAACATCGACTTGAAAGTGTGCGCAGTTGCGCCCGTGCACGAACCTGGCATTTCGGCCCTTTACGTGTCTGCAGTAATCTACCAGAAGCTATGTCGGAATGTTTGTACACTTTAATTATTTGGTTTTAAATACAATAACATTATTCCAAAGCAACGTACTACAATTTTTATTTAGCTTTAGGTACATTTTTTTCTACCGGTGGTTTCATTCACAGGCTGCTTGAGAAGAAAGGCATCCGCAGTATTTAAAGTTGGAGCAAGATCATTTTTGGAGCTTGTTTATCATTAGTATTGTAGTTTTCTACCTGAATCATACCATCATTTTTAGTTAGGCAACTTCTTCCAAGACCACCACCAGCCCCATCATAGATCTATCACTAACAGTTGCCTTGCTTTCAATGTTGTAACGTTGTACATGTCAATCACATGATCCAATGATGCGGCAACTATCATTACAGTAATAGTAATGACAATAACATCTCTCTGCATGTTATTACATATTGAGAACATAATATCATCTTGCTAATGGTAGTAAACTATCGAAATATCTTGAGCAATGTGGTTGATGCTACCTGTGATATCGTTGCTGTTTAATGCAGTGCTCTTACTGAACGATTATGATTGTATTCGGTATACGTGGTCTTTAAGATACTTCTATTTCAACTCTGATTAGTCATAGAAAAACGGAAAAAGTTTTTAGTTAATTTGGATTAAAAGAGTAACAGAAATTAATTATTTGCAGTTCCAGATTTTAGGCAATTACTTAGTTATACCATACATACTTGTAACTTTGTCTTCAACTTTGTCTTCAATAATTGTACTTATTTCATAGTAAAATATAAATCTAAACTCTACAGAACACATATCTTAGCAAATACAATTTAGATGACCTCAACAATAATATTTCTCTGGCACGTTACCACCATAAAACAAAATAAGAAACAGTCCTTGATCTGTCACTAGCAGTGATAGTCCGAACACTATCCCAAGATATATCTTATTGCAGGTCCATTAGCCCTCCATTAGAATCTACTCATGATCGATGGTGTTAAAGAACAATAGCCATTTTCTTCATTGTTATTTATTAGCAATAATGATCCTTATTACGTGGTTAACAAAGTTGCAAATGAAGTCAATTCAGAGTGTTGAAATGTGGTATTCGTTGGAATTGATGGTGCTATGATAGTAAAGAATGATGACAGTACAAATTACGATGGTTAAGTGTTTGAAAATAAACTAAAGGGTAGGGATAATAACAGCCTGTGAGAGATTTTTTCTATAAGCAGTTCTGTTTGTATTGTATTTGTTCTCCATAATTGTAATGCCTAGAGACATAAGGGATTCCTTTTAAGGCACTAAATTACTATTCCCCTTTCGGAGTATAATAGTTTTGATATAGAGTTATTCTCTGTAGAAATATACCTATTGTGGAATATAAATATTATTCTCCATAGCACACAATTATAAGCATTGCGAAAATTGACTTGCCTAGCCCATCCCAAAATACCAATAAGGCATCAAAGATAATCTTAGACAAAACAAACCTAAAGGTAAATTGCGACATCAGTCCATCTTACACAAAACGGTAGATCTACGTGATGATCTCTAGGCGCAGTTTGTGAAATATTGAATTTAATAGGGACCACAAAAGGCCGGTTAATTTTACGCAAGGTCCATGGAAAATGGTTTTGTAAATGTACGTGGTACCCACGTTTCTGATCCCGTAGGGTTCAGGGACAAAACCGTTGTAATTCGAAAATAAGTGAAGCGAATTCACTCGACACTCATTTTGTAAATGCACGAGCCAGTCTAGAATTTGATTTCTAATTGGCTAATTGAAGTGTCTAATTTTGTTTCATGCAATTTCGAAGTTGAAATCGACTTTACTAATAAGAATTTCCAGATTTGAGTTAAGTAATTTGTATAAAATATCGATAGTTGTGCCATGACGTTGAATTGAATATATGGTTTAGATAAGTGGTTGCTTTGCGGATCTGATGTAAGTCACATAATTACATCACGTTTGTGATAATTAACCGGACTTGAAAATGCATTCCTGAATAATTTGGCATCAATAGCTTGCAGGATTTGTACTACTTAATATGTGTATTTTTATAAAATCCTAGTTTTTTGTACGTGAACTTTTATTCGTGAGCGCCATGTAGTAGACACCAATCACTAAGGTAATTAGTGAACGAAATTAATAAATGTCGATTACTTAATTTAATGATTTCACGAAATTCTTTTACTAAACGATATCAATCATGGGCATACCTAGACAAGTACACGACGGAATGAAAGTGCTTCCCTATACTGTGTTGCACGCGAAATTGTCGTTTAATACTTCATATAAGCAACCTTTGGATCAGTCACGTATTGTCGTCACGCCGCCATTACACTTGAAGGGTACAGAAGTTCTGAAGTACTTTCTAATTGAAAAGGTTCCGCTCTCAACATCTTCGATTGAACCGCAGACAAGATAACTAATGATAGTGACTTAGATGACGCAGATAAATAGGAAATGCAAGATCACGTGCATCTCAATACAGAAAGGAAAATAGTGCTAGCTGAAACACTAGACTAACTAACGATCTAAGTCACGAATGAAAAAAAAAATCATGATTAGATGTTACAGGTCTTTTGTACCAAAAAATGCACGTGTTGAAGGATCTGTTGCGATTATTTTAATTTGTTTGTTACTGTACCGGTATAAATGCGGGTCACTTTGAAGGTAGAAATCTTATAGGTAACTAAAACTAATGGCACATAAAACAATCTCAAAAGAAATCTTAAACTTTCCATCAGATTCCAAAATTGAACGAAACAAAAATATCTCTAACACGTGTGTAGATAAATTGATAGTAGCAGGCATGCACAGATACAAATATGATGAAAGTTCACATAGTATACGTACCTACAGAACTATAGGACTCGTACACGCGATTGTATCAAATTGCAAACTCGATCACGTAATAGCATTTCGGTAAAACACAGTTATGTCAGACCATACAATAGTACAGAAGGGTCACAACATTACAACTCGATTGTACTACACAAAACGTATACAAAAAATATCAAATTACTAAAGAATTACTAAAGAATGTGCTAGGTTGCACAAAATAGATTTACTTTATTTTTCATCAGAACTTTTTAGAAGCCTGTATTTTGGTAGTCAAAAGATTAACTACTTCTTACTCAGCCCCGTAAATATACACTCGCAACACCACAGCCAACCTTCGTTAATGTCGTAGAACTTCAAATCACATCACAGTAACCACCTTTTATAATCAGCTTATTCCGCTTCTTTAACCATTGGAGTCCTTCTGCGAATATCAGTTTCATGGCAACAGTTATGGTATTATTGAGTGTAACTGTTTCTTGATGATAGCTTGGAATTGCTAGTTTCAAAATATTCGGGTAGCAAAGTTTCTGAGTACAAAACTGACCTTATCTTTGTAATAATTGGGTTCGTACACTTTAGGCTTATAGGTTTCTTCCTAGTGTTGCGACTTGAGAATATTCTAAGGTATGAGGGCAAGCGAATGTAGTGTTCGAAATTATGTGTTTGGGATTGCATAGTTTGAAACAGATGAATGCAGTAATCATAGATGGGGCAAGAAGCCGGAGGTCTTAGGCTCTCAAATCAATTTCAGCTGTCTGTTTGTAGAATACCTTACACAATACAATTATAATACAGCTGCGATTGGGAGATGTGATGTAATGGTATCAAAATTTATGAATCCTAAAATTATATCAGAAGCTCTATTATTATTTATTTGTAAAAGGTTTGAAAGTTTCTCACGACGACAACAAATGGCATTATGTGTTAACATCTCCAGGCAACATATCATATACCCTTTTTTGTTAGAAAATATCAGTATGACATCTCACCTTCATTTGTCATCATTTAAAAACGACCATTGTCGGAAGCAAAAATATATTACGGAAGAGTCACAGAAGATTATACAAGCAAGCAAGCAATAGAAAATAAATTACTTAAAATGCTTTATCAGATTTGTAATAATATAGCAAACCCATGAGAAAGTCAGTTCCCATGGTTCGTAATGATGATGGATAGGTCCGTAATGGAGGCTCATGATATAATACTTAATCTTCATAGTTAATCTCTCAACGTAAAGTACGTGATTGGTAACTAGTTGATGGAAAACTTTTAGAAATTTCGGGGTTTTGTGATCATGACTTTGATAGAATCTGTTATACATAAATTGTTTTGATGAAAAAGTGAACAGGATTGTATGTTAATAGTGTTATTTAATTAACTAGTTTTCATGTTCAAAGTAATAGTCTTATTAGTAAGTTTAATACGAACCCTTTGTATTATAGGTCTAAACACATGATCTGATTTGATCTTTAAAGATGTCTGGGAGATTTTGTTAATCAAAATTAGGAAGAAAACACGTCCTTAAATAACAATCAATCGATATTTATGATTAACCTATGTATCTGAATTCCTATTAATTACTTC